TTATGATGTTTAAATCATTTGTTTTAAACGTTTTAAATAAAACCATGTTTGATTAATTTAGATATTTTAAACATGTTTTAAACAAGTGTTTAAAACATCTCAACTCTGTGTTATAGTGTAAAAATTTTAATTCAATTATATCGGATGTCCCGCAAAAATTAACCCATTGCGATATCTCCTAAGATAATAAATATATCGTAAATCAGGTTTTTTATTACTCATTAATACAATGGCTACATACATTTTATTTTTTTATTTTATTAAATTTTTTAGTAAAAAAGTTAAAATTAATTTTTTATTTTTCAAAAATATTTAAATACCTAGTTTTTTTAGTTCATAAATAAAATGGCGAAAAACTGGTTTTTATCCGGGTGGMAAGTCCCCCTCTAAGCCTAATGGTAAATGGATATATCCTCACAAACACTCTGTATAACATCATTTTAACTGTACCAAAAATAATTTCAATCATAACCTATAAAAGTAGAATGTTTTATACATCTTTAACTACTTAATAATTTGTAAATTTTTAATTAGATACATTTTTTCAACATTTGAAATTTCAATGCATATACGTTTTATATATTTTATCAACCTTACTGCTTTTGTAACAATAAAACTGAAACTTTGTATTAAATTCTCAATATTTTTACCAACAAATGAGATTAGAATGACATTTATAGAAAAAAAAAACTAAAAACTGAAAATGTCAGTTAACAGCTCAAGAAAGTCAAAATACGAGTACTTTCATCAAATAGAAGAAAATGATAGATAAAATAAWCATATTATAGAAATTTCAAGTATCTACGGTTATTCATTTTGGAATTACAATAAAATAAGAATAATCATTCTATGAGAAATCAAATGAATATCCAATTTTGTAATAATATTAACTTAAAACGTTAATAAAAATTCAATTTGATTTTCTGGTAGATATTCTTCTTCAAAAAACGTATATAAATTTTGTATTTAATTTTCAAATTTTAGGTATAAAAATAAATTTTTGTAAAATTTCTGAATCAAAATACTTAGCAAACTTTTGTGATGTGAATTTCGTCAAATTTTGAACTTTAGACGCCTATACAAATTATTGCGTAATTACGTTCAAAATTTTTTAAATTTCAACTGACAACATTTATGAGAAATCWTRTATTTTCAAGTTTTTTTTAAAAACTTATAAAAATTGAAAACTTCATATAGTTACCTATAAAAAGTTCAACATTGAAAATTTTATAATATAGAAAATGTTGGTATAGAGTCTATACTATAGACGTTCAATGAAAATTTCATTTTTCAATGGTAATTTTTTTTTTKAGTTACAATATAAACTAAAATCGATTTTACCATAACCCAATTATGCATAAATATTTCCAATTTCTCAATTGAAAGATACTAAAACTGAATATTGATGAATTATTTAGACTACTTATTATGTACACAAACACATAAAAATTGTATCATACAATTTAAAATTTTCAGTCAAAATACTAACACTTCAGAGGATTATGAATTTTTTTGTGTTCATTMAAATCTGAAAGCAACACAAAACACTCCTTTAATTGAATACAATGTTTTTTCTCTGTATGAATCGCAGCATTATCATTTTCCAAATCATTCATTTTTTGGACCTAAGTAAAAAAATGTTTAATAAATTATTTTTGTGTTAATAAATAGAAAATAAAGAAAAGTGTTAAATACAACCTTATATTTATTCATTTTTTTAATCCTTTTTCCTCGAGTTTTTGATCTAAACAAGTGTATTAATACATAAATAAATTATTATAAATTACATGGATAAGTTAAATCCATACATATACTTATTTAGCATAACTATTAATGTTTAAAATATAATGACAATGCTATCTAATAGGAAGAGTATAATACATCATATAAATTATTTTATATTATAAACAAATTTAAGCATTTGAGAAAATAATTTATTTTTAAGTATTCTATAAAAAGTAAATTTAAGTAATTTGAATTAGTGATTCAAAACTTTTTATTCACAGTCTAAAATTAACTAATTGTTAAAAAAAAAATATAGGTAATTAAATAAACAAGTTTGTAATTTGTAAACTTACATTGACAAATAATCCTTGTCATTCTCTGAACTAATCTTTTTATTACTGCTAGTAGAGGCTAAATTAACAAAATTCAGTATGTCATAAAAATTAAATCATAATATTTATAATTTTCAGTAAAAATACTAACACTTGTTGGATTTAAAATTTTCTTTGTGTTCATTACAATCTGAAAGCAACACAAAACACTCTTTCATTTGACTATAATGTCTCTTCTTTGTATGAATCACAGCATTGTCATTTATCAAATTATTTATATTTTGGACCTAGGAGAAAAAAGTAAAAAAATTAATCTAATATTTTATAAAAACTAAAATTGGTTTACCTTAGCAATCTCTTTCTTTACTTTTTTAATGTTTTGTTCTTTGGTTTTTAATCTAAAGAAAAAAATATTTTAAAATACATACATAAATTAATATACTTATGTATTATACTCAGGGGCGGACTGGCCAGGG